ACCCATAGTGGGGAAAAAAGCTTTACAAACCTCTACATTCTTCTCTGAAGGTTTCTAAATTCTTTGATTCACTTGTTTTGCATGACCATGAGAAAGATATTTCCTAGCTTAGGAAAACTTTTTAAATTTTGAGATAGCATGGGCCTAACAGCTTATACTGACAGCCGATCCAGCCACACATGCTATTTTGTTGCAATATCCACAATGGGAAGAATATTCTGTATTACTTCTTTCCTGGTTAAAAAAAATGGTTTTCTCTGACAGTCAAGAAAATCTGTCGGAAAGAATAATAGAGTAGCAAGGCTTTCACATAATTTTCAACAGGCTTGAACATCCCAAAGGGTTCCTGAGAAAGAAAGAATATTTTTGTGTTGTATTTCCCTTACACGGAGTGTTTGGAGGATTTTTCTGTACAGAACAACACTTGGCTTCTTTATATAGTGTTTACTGTGCTAGAATGTTTGTGTGTATGTGTGTGTACAGGAAATGTGTGGGGAGTCCACAATCAATAAAAAAGGCCAGAAAAGAAATATTTGTAATCTACCATAGCAGGGAGAAAACTACAGTAATTTATCTTTGACTCAAGGGCAAAATAATCAAGGGTTTCCATCCATACAATGGAATACCTTTTCTTACCCTGAGGGGAGTGGTTTGCCTCTGCAGTCTCTTAAATCTCCCTTTATCGAGTGTAATGGAACTACATTGAACCGTTGCATTGAACAGGGAGAAATTTAATAGGCCAGAAGGACAAAAATTGAAAGGTAGAAACCCCAGTCTCTCTGTGGAAGGCAAAAAGACTTCCATGGTCACTGGGCTTTATGCCACCCACAGTTTTCTTTAATATGATTTTGTTATTTTTATACTTCAAAAATGTTTACAGTGTGCCGACACCCTACAGAGGACATCAGTGTAATCTTCATAAAAATTAAACATTCATTATACTAAAACAGATACAAATATATTACTGTAAAACTGACAGTCTTAAAAGAGTTAAAGAATGTCTGTTTGTATCTATGTATCTTCATATGCCTTATTTATGTAATTTGTTTGAAGAAATAAAACATATTTGACCTGATGCTGAAAAGGATAGTGTTGGCAAACTTGGCAAACATCCTGTTTATTTATTTTATTTATTTATTATTTATTTACAGTTCTTATAGTCCGCCCTTCTCACCCCGCAGGGGAGTCAGGGCGGATTACAGTAAACACATATATGGCAAACATTCAATGCCAGTTTGACAAACAACATTTAACAGACACCGAGGCTATTTAACTTTTTTTTCTGGCCGCCAGGGGAGCTGCTGCTTTTCATCGTCCATCAACGACACCGATGAAGTTCTTCCGCATTCCACATTCCCCGGAGTCTTTTTCCTTTATGGCCTCATAAATTAGTTAAATTTAGCCTCCCACACAAGGTGGTACCTTATTTTCCTACTTGACAGATGCAACTGTCTTTCGGGTTGCAAAGGTCGACAACGGGCTACACAATGGCTGGACACCCACTCCAGCCCGGGCTGGCTTCGAACTCATGACCTTTTGGTCAGAGTGATCTTAATGCAGCTGACACTCAGCCAGCTGCGCCACAATCCCGGTGTTGGGTTGACCTCCAAAATCAAGTTGTCATTAATGAAAAGAGCCTCCATTTGGAAGACAAAACGTGTCCTTCAGAGAAGGCCCAGAGATAATGTGGTGACCTTAATGCTTGAGATAGGATGATATGAAAGGTGATCCTCTCTTGGATATTTAGACCTTTTTTCACTTTTGCAGTTTGAAATCTGTCTGCAACAAATTACTTCCAAGTTTCTGCTTAGCCTCACAGGTGGTCACCATAATAGCAAGACAGTAAATATTATAATTTTCTTAGTAGCAGTTTTAATAGCAGCTGATTTTCTCCCCTGCTACTTTTAGTCTTTTCAGATTTAGAGCTAATTACTTTTATGTGTCGAACTGTGATAGATGGGTTGCTGAGAAGTGTTTTTAAAAGATGCTAAAGAAAAGGCTGTCTTGTCACAGCAAAGTGTATAATTGCTTGCTGTTCCTTTCTGAATTTCAGCAATTTGAAATGTCAGTAGCGAACATCCTGTTTAACCATTGGATGACTACAGGGGGTGCTGAACTGTAGGAAGGTGTAGGCAGCAGACCAGAAGGAATGGCAGCAGAAGCTTGGCAGATATCAGCACATTAATCTTGGTTGATTGATGCCCATCCACCCATCCTCAGAAAATAGTCCCTTTAAAGGTGGGCTATGAGAAAAAAAAGTATAGGGAGAAAGGGTGGATTTTTATTCCCTAAAACTGGAATAGGAGCCATACAGCTTTGGACCCAATTGACCTCAGAATGGTTTTACACCCCTAGAGAAATCTTTTCTCCATATATTTTAACCCACTTACTCAAATTGAAGGATTGTGCCTCTGTGTGGCATGGTTTTCCTCTAAATCTGCTTGTGAAATTTCAGATGACCTTCTGGTCATTTCTCTTCTCATTTTAATGGCCTTGTACTACTACCCTAGAGTCATTTGGGAAAAGCCCAATGGTTCACAGATTTCCAGAGTGTGCATTCTTCCATACATAGGAAGGTGCTATATGCCAGGTGGGACAGTTTAATTCCTCCATGCCAGTATTGTCTGTTATTTTCCCCAGAGTCTCCCCAGAATATATTTTCAGTCATCTATTGCCTGATGATTTTGCTTGGATGGGCTAGGGACTGACATTCTTGGATATTCTGCATGCAAGTGATGAATGAGCATTGCTGGACAAATATTTCCTCTGTTTTTGTTGATGTCCCTCATGCAATCTTCCTCTCCCTCTCCCCAACAGCAGCTGCTAAAATGTCAAACTTGATGGACTTCTAGGTTATCGTGTCACCTTTGGCCTGATCCACAAAAGCAATTATTTTGTTAGTTTCCTACTCTGCCCTGAGATAGATGAAGCTAGAGGCTGACTTTTCAACTGCATGATGGGATTGAAAGACTTTAGAAGGAGATGGGGATCACAACCCATTGATTCCCGGGTTTTCTGCAGGGCAGAAGGCAGGAGCCAGTTTACTATTATGTGACTTGCCTAGGTCCAGAAAATTATTTCTTGGCTTTGAAAATAATTCAGTGGTTTTGGTTGCATATAGACAACAGTGTTCATTTCTTGCAGGAAAAAAACCCAACGATTTTGCTATTTTATATAAAGGATACCATTTTGCTATGTTATTGTACATCATGGGACTTCAGCATCCACAGAAACATGCAGTTTCTCAAGTCACTCCTGACACACACACACACAAAGCATCCACAGATTTGGGTCTCTTTGAGCATTCTGGAGTGCAACTCAAGTAGACACCAAGGACCCACTGTATAGGAGATGAATATTGTTGCTACTGAATGCAAAATTACTTGCAAGGGAGGATGAGCTGTCCCTAGACACCCCCCCCCCCCAAGCAGAGCAGACTTATGCCTAGGCTTCCTTAATCAATTTGGTGGCAAAAAAGGGGGAAGAAAATATACTGAAAAAGGTTAGCTGATGCTAATTCAATGACATAAGTTGCTATATACCTTCTCACACCTTTTCTTCATGCCATTATCAATCCAGGGCAATGTTAAGTGTCCCAAAGGTTAATGTTTCATTTCCAGGGCCCTCACTACGTAAAGAAATGTTTTTAAAATGTTCAAAGTGAGAGATCAATATAAATTCACTTTGGTTTGGGAGGACTCAGGAAACCTATTCTTTTTTCTAAGTCAAATATTCTACTGTTGAAGGGCTCTAGAGGCAGAATATGCATTTTTATTTTTCAAATTAGATAGTAACTTTAAAACACCACCTTTTGAACTAGCTGGCTGACGATAAAACATTTGAACTCCTTCTATATACTCATTTATAATGCTAGAAATTTTACTGAAAAAAATCAACCCTCAAAACCTGGGTCAACTTATTCATGGGTCAGTGTAAGTACTATACCCTAACTCTTATCAAAAACGGAGCCATCCCCTTCTCAGGGCAGAGTGGCAAAATGAATAGCTTAGTGCAGTGGTTCTCAACCTGTGGGCCCCAAGATGTTCTGGCCTTCCATTCCCAGAAATTCTAACAGCTGGTAAACTGTCTGAGATTTCTGGGAGTTGTAGGCCAAAACACCTGGGGACCCACAGGTTGGGAACCACTTGCTTACTGCACCATAAGGTAAAGGTTTTCCCCTGACATTATGTCTAGTTGTGCCTGACTCTGGTCGTTGGTGCTCATCTCCTTTTCTAAGCTGAAGAGCTGGCATTGTCCATAGACATCTCCAATGTCATGTGGCCAGCATGACTGCCTAGAGTGCCGTTACCTTCCTGCCAGAGCAGTACCTATTGATCTACTCACATTTGCATATTTTCAAACTGCTAGGTTGGCAGAAGCTGGGGTTAACAATGGGAACTGACCCCTTTCCCCGGATTTGAACCGCTGACCTTTTGGTCAGCAAGTTCAGCAGCTCAACGGTTTAGCCCACTGTGCCACCGGGGCCTCCTATAGTACATCATAGAAGAACCTAAAATAAGCACAAATTTCTTCTGCACTCTCTACCAGAGTGCCATTTCTTGCCTTTTTGAATGCCAGGGCAGGAAAATGACAGCAGCAAAGGGTGCAGAGTCAACTTACTCATAGATCATATTGAAATCCATAATTTTGGCCTCAAAACCTGCCCTCAACCTATATATGAGATCGACTTGTCCATAAAAATATACAAAAAAACACTTCTCCAAATCACAGCAGCCACAATGGCCTTTGTTCTACAAAGTTCAATTGTATGAAAACCCAGAAGTGACTGTGAAATTAGGGGTTAGGTTTATTAACAACTAAAGCTCATCATCACGAAATCCATAGAAGTTTTGGCATGATTTGAATGCTCCTCTACAAAATTCCCCTTCAGAAATTCCAACAAGCACATTCAAGTCTATTTGTTTTGTTTTTTTCATCATTGAACAAAACCAGAACAAAATGAACAGTAAGTCTGATAGTTTTTTACTCTTTGCTTTCAGATCTCCTGTTTCTTCAGAAGATCAAGGTAAGAATCCAATTTATTATTCTTTACCTGGTAAAAAGAGGTGGGAGAAATGAACTGTGGAAAGCATAGTTACAAAGCTCAGATTTTAGAGAGACGAAAGAAGCATCTTATATGTAGACCTATATATTTTCTGTATGATTCCATTCAAATATATATTTGTTCAGTTCAGTTGTTCACCATCGTGCCTGTGCTTCACTCCTATTATAAATCTAACCCAATAAACTATGAATTTTGTTTGGGCAAATTGAAAAAGATGAGATTTAAAGATGGAAAAGAAATTCACTTGGGTCACATTTCTTCTGTGAAAATATCTTTTTTCTTCGTGGTCTCTGCGAATTCACACTTGTGGAGAGTCTGCGCCTGCGCGGGCTCCAACGGAAAACT